AGGTAAAGAAAACCCTGTTCAAATTTATTATTATCAAACAATATTTCAGTTTTTTTTTTTTAATGAACAAAATTTGAAAAATGAACATTCAAACGTTTATTTAGTTTTATTTTATTTTTACAAACGATATTATCTACACTAAGATAATGAGAAAGTGAACTAAGCCTCATAATAGAATAGTAATGATCTGGTTCAAATTCGCCTTCGGCGAGAATTGAAATATAAGACCTCTCAATAGGTTATCAACCTAAATATGCACTTTTGATGTGCACTAAGCTAATGTCTAGTTCACATTGGAAAAACCCAAAATCAACAGAACACGTCGGCTACTCGATATACATTATTTTTACACAGCATACCTTTTTGACAAAAAACATGGGTGTTACACTCACGGTTTTTTGTCAGTTTTTACAAATTCGTACATGCATCGTTGTTCAAACTATTTATTTTCACCTTCGCCTCACCGTTAAATTTGAAAATTAAAGTAATACTTTATGTTAACATTCTTGAGGGTGGGACCTTATTTTAACAATGTTTTGAGCCTCACAACTATATTTTTCACCTTCACCTCACCATGAAGTTTGAAGATTATAATAATACTTTTTGTTATATTCTTGATGGTGGAACGCCATTTTAACAATGTTTTGGGCCTCCCTACTATATTTTTCACTTAAGTTTTTAATTTTCGACTTAAATAGTTTACTAAATATACATTTGTTACTCAATAAATCGTAAACTTGCTTCCAAATAAATAAATGAAATAGAAAAGGATACGATCAGTACTTATATACCGATTGTCCACACTAACTGTCGCTAACGTGTTAGCAACAGTGCCCACAGATAATCGCTAGCTTCATACTGAACCCCTCTTTTCAATTTTTTCTTTTTTAATTTTTATTTTTTATTTTTTGCTTATGTTTGTTTTAGTTCTCTTACCATAACAAGAAACTATCAAACTCGTATTCTTCAAAATATATTTTTTCATGCAAAATGACGCCCCCTCTTGCCATGCATTGCAAGGTAAAGAAAACCCTGTTCAAATTTATTATTATCAAACAATATTTCAGTTTTTTTTTTTTAATGAACAAAATTTGAAAAATGAACATTCAAACGTTTATTTAGTTTTATTTTATTTTTACAAACGATATTATCTACACTAAGATAATGAGAAAGTGAACTAAGCCTCATAATAGAATAGTAATGATCTGGTTCAAATTCGCCTTCGGCGAGAATTGAAATATAAGACCTCTCAATAGGTTATCAACCTAAATATGCACTTTTGATGTGCACTAAGCTAATGTCTAGTTCACATTGGAAAAACCCAAAATCAACAGAACACGTCGGCTACTCGATATACATTATTTTTACACAGCATACCTTTTTGACAAAAAACATGGGTGTTACACTCACGGTTTTTTGTCAGTTTTTACAAATTCGTACATGAATCGTTGTTCAAACTATTTATTTTCACCTTCGCCTCACCGTTAAATTTGAAAATTAAAGTAATACTTTCTGTTAACATTCTTGAGGGTGGGACCTTATTTTAACAATGTTTTGAGCCTCACAACTATATTTTTCACCTTCACCTCACCATGAAGTTTGAAGATTATAATAATACTTTTTGTTATATTCTTGAGGGTCGAACGCCATTTTAACAATGTTTTGGGCCTCCCTACTATATTTTTCACTTACGTTTTTAATTTTCGACTTAAATAGTTTACTAAATATACATTTGTTACTCAATAAATCGTAAACTTGCTTCCAAATAAATAAATGAAATAGAAAAGGATACGATCAGTACTTATATACCGATTGTCCACACTAACTGTCGCTGGCGTGTTAGCAACAGTGCCCAAGGATAATCGCTAGCTCTATACCGAACCCCTCTTTTCAATTTTTTCTTTTTTAATTTTTAATTTTTATTTTTTGCTTATGTTTGTTTTAGTTCTCTTACCATAACATGAAACTATCAAACTCGTATTCTTCAAAATATATTTTTTCATGCAAAATGACGCCCCCTCTTGCCATGCATTGCAAGGTAAAGAAAACCCTTTTCAAATTTATTATTATCAAACAATATTTCAGTTTTTTTTTTTTAATGTACAAAATTTGAAAAATGAACATTCAAACGTTTATTTAGTTTTATTTTATTTTTACAAACGATATTATCTACACTAAGATAATGAGAAAGTGAACTAAGCCTCATAATAGAATAGTAATGATCTGGTTCAAATTCGCCTTCGGCGAGAATTGAAATATAAGACCTCTCAATAGGTTATCAACCTAAATATGCACTTTTGATGTGCACTAAGCTAATGTCTAGTTCACATTGGAAAAACCCAAAATCAACAGAACACGTCGGCTTCTCGATATACATTATTTTTACACAGCATACCTTTTTGACAAAAAACATGGGTGTTACACTCACGGTTTTTTGTCAGTTTTTACAAATTCGTACATGAATCGTTGTTCAAACTATTTATTTTCACCTTCGCCTCACCGTTAAGTTTGAAAATTAAAGTAATACTTTCTGTTAACATTCTTGAGGGTGGGACCTTATTTTAACAATGTTTTGAGCCTCACAACTATATTTTTCACCTTCACCTCACCATGAAGTTTGAAGATTATAGTAATACTTTTTGTTATATTCTTGAGGGTGGAACGCCATTTTAACAATGTTTTGGGCCTCCCTACTATATTTTTCACTTATGTTTTTAATTTTCGACTTAAATAGTTTACTAAATATACATTTGTTACTCAATAAATCGTAAACTTGCTTCCAAATAAATAAATGAAAGAGAAAAGGATACGATCAGTACTTATGTACCGATTGTACACACTAACTGTTGCTAGCGTTGTAGCAACAGTTCCCATAGATAATCGCTAGCTTTATACCGAACCGCTCTTTTCAATTTTTTCTTTTTCATTTTTAATTTTTAATTTTTTGCTTATGTTTGTTTTAGTTCTCTTACCATAACAAGAAACTATCAAACTCGTATTCTTCAAAATATATTTTTTCATGCAAAATGACGCCCCCTCTTGCCATGCATTGCAAGGTAAAGAAAACCCTTTTCAAATTTATTATTATCAAACAATATTTCAGTTTTTTTTTTTTAATGAACAAAATTTGAAAAATGAACATTCAAACGTTTATTTAGTTTTATTTTATTTTTACAAACGATATTATCTACACTAAGATAATGAGAAAGTGAACTAGGCCTCATAATAGAATAGTAATGATCTGGTTCAAATCGCCTTCGGCGAGAATTGAAATATAAGACCTCTCAATAGGTTATCAACCTAAATATGCACTAAGCTAATGTCTAGTTCACATTGGAAAAACCCAAAATCAACAGAACACGTCGGCTACTCGATATACATTATTTTTACACAGCATACCTTTTTGACAAAAAACATGGGTGTTACACTCACGGTTTTTTGTCAGTTTTTACAAATTCGTACATGAATCGTTGTTCAAACTATTTATTTTCACCTTCGTCTCACCGTTAAGTTTGAGAATTAAAGTAATACTTTCTGTTAACATTCTTGAGGGTGGGACCTTATTTTAACAATGTTTTGAGCCTCACAACTATATTTTTCACCTTCACCTCACCATGAAGTTTGAAGATTATAGTAATACTTTTTGTTATATTCTTGAGGGTGGAACGCCATTTTAACAATGTTTTGGGCCTCCCTACTATATTTTTCACTTATGTTTTTAATTTTCGACTTAAATAGTTTACTAAATATACATTTGTTACTCAATAAATCGTAAACTTGCTTCCAAATAAATAAATGAAATAGAAAAGGATACGATCAGTACTTATATACCGATTGTCCACACTAACTGTCGCTAGCGTGGTAGCAACAGTGCCCAAATATAATCGCTAGCTTTATACCGAATCCCTCTTTTCAATTTTTTCTTTTTTATTTTTCATTTTTAATTTTTTGCTTATGTTTGTTTTAGTTCTCTTACCATAACAAGAAACTATCAAACTCGTATTCTTCAAAATATATTTTTTCATGCAAAATGACGCCCCCTCTTGCCATGCATTGCAAGGCAAAGAAAACCCTGTTCAAATTTTTTTCCCGAAACTTAATGTAACTAACCAATTCGGAAATGAGGGAACAAACCAATCATTCAGCAATTTCACAACGTCTTCATCCTCGAAAGAGTCAACCTCCATAACGATAACATGACACCTTATTGACAGTCCCACACAAACTAATTAGTCCTCATTCACTAGAATATTAAAATCAAACTTCCCAAAAATCGAACAAGAAATCTCACCAATGACACCGCTGTATCCGACTTTTGCATACAAAACCAACGCAGTTGCAACGATCAAATGAATCACATATCAGCTGACTGCCAAATTCCGACACTCGCAAAGAGAAAACAAAACAGGGGTAGAGTAAAGTTACTTGATAAGAAGACGGGAACGTCCCTCTTTCGAGCTTCGGCGAAAGCTTCTTCTCCCCACGGATACCAATCCACCTGGTAAAACGCAGTCGAGTTTCAATCTTTCAGCTTGCAGAGCAATCCAAACAACAAAGAACAGAGAACCCAGTTCGGAAATTCAAACTTACCGGGTTGTGGGCGTGTTGCAGAAGGTAGGGGCTGTGCTCGGCGGCGAGGCGATTGGAGTGCTTGTGAGACGGGGCGGCTGGGTTGCTCGAAGTGTGCTCGGCCATGGCGAGGGGCTTGGAGGCTGAGATGGGTCGGCGGAGAATCAGTGAGGAAAGTGGCGGGAGATTGGGGCGGTGGTGATGGAGGACAGGAGAGCTGTTTGGTTGGATGAGAGAGCAAGCGGAGAGAGAGAAGAAGAGTGCAGAAGTTGGTGCCATGCGTAGAGAGGGGGTGAAGAGGCAGAAGCAGCCATGTGGAGCTTGGGCTTGTTTGAAGGCTGGAGGTTGAGTGTTTGTATTTTTAAAAGACAGCTGTTAATCCCACCCCCAATCCTATTTCCCCACCCCTTTATTAATTTATTTTTAATGACATGTTTACCCCTATGTCAAATGACGTAAATACATAAATAATCTAGAACCCTTCTCTCTCCCTCCCTCTTTCAGACCACTCGTAGTCCAGCTTCACTCTCTCGAACTTGCATCCCACGAATCTTCTTATCCATAATTCTAACCAGTTTCTTCTCTTTGTTTTTGCAAAACCCAAAAAGACCCAATTTCTTTGAATTTCATTTTGTTGTTAGCTGCTACTTTGGTATAATTGAAAGAAAAGAAAAAGTGAAAAATTGAAAATTTAGAAGAAAAACGAAGAGCCCATCAACCAACTCCCCACATCCATGAGCTACCCACCCCATCCAATTTGACAGCAGCCATCCTCCACCAGCTTGACCCTTCAACCTAATCTTTTCCCTCCTCCATCTCAATCGAACTCACAAATAATAAAACTCAACTTCAACCCTGCATGTTGTGGTGGATGTCGCTCATCCTCCTCCTCCTAGTCAAAAGGACCACATCAAGGCCTTTCCCTCCAAATTTCCAGAGAGAAAAAATTGTTTCTGGTGGGAAAGAGGTCGTTGTTGAATTGAGTTGGATGAGGTTGTTGTCGAATTGAGTTGGATGATGTTAATTGTATCTAGGATATTTTAGGAATAAAAGTGGGTGGAGAAAGAGTATTTAAATATTTTTAACTTTCTACGGTGGGTGAAATTATAAGGTGGGTAGGAAAATAGGACAATGGGGTGGGTCTAGTAACACTCTTATAAAATGACTGAAGTGTTTTCAGGAAAGGAAAGGGTTGGATCCCTTTCCACTTAATCCATCAAGTTCGGGATCCGGACCGTTGAAATTTGATCAAATAGTTACATTTATTATAACTTTTAAAGGGCCCCCTGTTTGTAGTCGTTGAATCAAATTTCAACTGTCCGGATCACATACTTGGTGGATTAGGTGGACAGGGATTCAGAGAGGATCCCTTTCCTTCAGTAGAAGTGTGTTTGGGTTTTGATTTGAAGTGCATTTTGCATCAGCACTTTTTCAGAGTTCACTTGTATTAGGATTGTTTCAAAAGCCTCGTTTGAAAGTGTTTTTAAAATGACTGAAAGCGAGTTTGATGAAATTATTTTGGAACCAATCCTTAGTAAAAATGCAAGTAAATCCTAAAAAGACATTTTAAAGTGCTTCCTGCAAGAAACACCAATTATATGCTTCTTGCATGACACACTTTTAAATGCTTTTTAGAATCCAAAATATTTTTACTAAAAACGCTTTTAATTATTTTAAAAACACTCACAAATAAGCCCGTTTTAAAACTACTTTCAAACACACTGTTCAATTGCTTTTTGGACTAATACAATTGGACATGACTATGTGCACGCTTATTTGCAATTGAGTTCGATAGAGCAATTTGCCCACCTATTTGCACCTAAATTTGATAGGGTCGTGTGTCCACTTAGTGACGCTTGAGTTCGATAAAGCAGTGTGCCCATTTATTTGCACCCGAATTCAATAGGACAATGTTTCCACCTACTTGTATTTGAGTTCGCTAAGGTAGTGTGCATGCCTCTTTGCACCCGAGTTCGATAAAGCAGTTTCCCACGTACTTGCATCCGAGTTCAGAAGGACAATGTACCCACCTATTCGCTACACGATTCTCTTATCTTTACATAAATAAAATGGAGTACAAAAATTACATAACTCAGCTATTTAACCTGTCAACAACAAATTCAACGAAAATTTCATGTGCCTGTGATTGCGTCTCGACATACAACATACGAAAAGATTGCCCCTTTTTTGAACCATTTTTTTCCAGCAAAGGCTTCCTTACTATCTGATCCGACTCTGTAAATCTTCGAACAAGATTGCCGCAAAACAAGCTAGAAATTAGCCAGCGGGCGCTCCTACAGATTCAGCGAGTTCTTCCAGAAGTTCTTGCTGTTCTAAGGAAACACAAGCCTGCAAGAAGGGTAGGAATATCAGTTGCACCGCAATCGTATTGGTGAATCCTTTTTAACAAATACTGTATAACCATAATATTTATTAAGAGAAAGGGAGGACATGTTTTTAAAGAGCTTGACTGTGGAAAAATACCTGAATTGCGTTATCTATATCGCCACCAAGAAAAGAGGTGAGCTCATAATTTGTCTTTAACCGATGGTCGGTCACTCTATTGTCCTGATATTCAATAAACAAAAGAAGTGAACTTCCCGAAACATAACCAATCTTATGCAAGAAATCTCACAGACAAAATTGTTGAACACAAGTCTCGCGTTGGTTACTGGTTTGCAGAAGTTATTTTAGCTTTATAGACCTATCGGGACCTCTGCACCTAATAGCTATAGCTTTTGAATTGGATAGTTCAGTAAATCACTCGTTAACAATACCTTAAAGTTGTATGTCCGAATCTTTTCTGCACGAGAACCAGTACCAACCTGCATTTTCAGAATACAAACATCACATGGTTTAGTCCTGTGCCTAAAACCACAATCTAGCGCTCCCATTGCATACCCTAATATCAAAGAACAGCATATATGTGATGGCAAAGGTTTACAACAGAGATGTTG